TCACTGATAACATCCTTTAAAATTCAAGCCTGTAAGCGGAGCAACTAGTTTCATGATCTTGGAGGTTGATGGTGCAGCGACTAGCAGATGGAGATAAATCGATTTTATGTTTAACAAGTAACTCTTCATTTTCTGAGACCCAATAGCCCAAAGCGTCCGTGTCATAAGTGGGGATAATTGTCACTTCTGAAAAAGGAGAAAATAATGAAACAACTGCGGAAGAGAACCTCAATGAAAATTGTTTAAGATGTTTATAAGTTGTAAATGAATCATCTTTAATTATTATCACATAACGGTTAGTTGGCTTTTGTTTTTACGATGGAGTCGTCACTGTTGCATAAAGAAGTACAGTAAAAGATGCAAATGGTCTTTCAGACTGATCGAGCTTACATAAAATGCACAATGCTGTAGGGGGAGGGGGTTTGAGGAAAGCGTTACACCATTTTGTTTTCACTCATTAAAGAATAGGGACCTATGTCACGAAAGTGTTACAAAGGGGAGGGGGGGTCGAAAAATCAGAAATTTAGTGTTACAAATTTTATGATTACCGTGCCCTTTTCATGGACTCAAAGCAAAACTGTCAATAGCGTAAACAATATTCACAGTAGTTAGATATTCCAAGATTAAAAATGTACCTCACTTGTACAGTTGTGCACTGTTTGTAGTTATATAACAGTGGTTTCTAATTTCTAACCCATGGATTTAATTGCCAACTGCACAGCGCAAACGCTCACTCACTATTTGGGTATCATTGCACATCCAAACCAAAATATGCTTCAAACAAGGGTGTTTATAGCCTCTTATAGAGCGGCTTTGTCTGCAGTTGTCTTCCTGAATGGTCTTAACTAGTGTTGCACCAAATGGGTATCTCTTTGAGAGAAATGTTGCTTAAATGAGCTTTTTCCTTCTGTATTGAGATGTCCAGTTTTCTGGGTTTTAATGCACATTGGCTACATCTCCAACTCACTTCTAATAGACAGTGAAATATGTGCATTGATTTTTTTTTTTCAAAACGGCTTACCTGAATCTTTGTCCTCCCAGCTCTGCTTTGCCTCTAGAAGAGCATCAAATATTTCTTTGCTTGGCTCGACAGCACTGAACACGTAATATCTAGCTCGGATTCGTTTGAAGAACTCGGTTGCCGAATATAGCGAGTTACCGTGATGAGGAACATATGCCAAGTCAATATATATCGGCGTAAATTTGCTACCTCGTCCATCTCTACTCCAGGATCGATGTTTCATTGGAGATTCAGACCGCCGTTTGCTTTCTTTCCCTGAAATCGAACAAATTAATAACCATCTCTGTTGAAGATACAGTGGACTAATTAACATTTTGAGGTGTGAGATGAGTATTTGAGTTCCAATTCTCTAATAAGTTATTAATTAAGGTTCACCAAAAAGTATCATAATTTTCTAACTATGCAACTTTGTATGGTCATCTAGTTATTTTTCTCTCTCCCAAATGTCGAAGCCTCCTCAAAACTCCTTCAGCACAAAAATTTATATTTTAATTTAAAATTTTGGCGTGCAATTATCAGTTTGCTTCAAGCAGAATAGATTGCAATGGAAATCGAAATAAATGCAAATTGCAATAATATGCAAGTGCAGAGTCATAGTTTGCACCAAATTAAATTTCTTTTCTGTGAGAGTGCTTTATTTTCCTTGTTCTGGAAGGATCTTATGAGTTTTTAGCTGAAATTTTATGGTGCTCCTTGTAACTATCTTTACATAAAATATCCACACGCGTTTTCTGTGTATATTGATCCACATATATTTAAAGTACTTCTGAAAAATTTCTTGAAAGATTTTGAAGATCTTGTACTCTCTTTAATATACACCGATTTGAAAGCATATGATTCAATCTGCGAGTCTCGACTAACTGTTTTCGTGGAAAAAGTACTATTTCTGAATTTTCTTTCCTGCAACGAATTAAGAAGACTTTTCTGAAAGAAGTCTTAAAATTAAAAAAGTTTCAGCTGCTAAGATAACA